CATTTAATTGGTTGATTACATATTTATATTTAATTTATTACATCTTATTCGCATATCTAATATTATGTTATCTTAATAAATATTTTAATTTTTAATTTTTTTTAATAGTTATTTTGCACATCATTATCTTATGTAAAATATTTACCAACCTATTAACTATATATTAATATAGATAAATTAAAATATTATTTCTTAATAAATATTTTAATTTTTAATCTATTTTTAATAGTTATTTTGCACATCATTATCTTATGTAAAATATTTACCAACCTATTAACTATATATTAATATAGATAAAATAAAATAATATTTAATAATTCGAACATGGTAATGAAATCATCTATTAAGATAACCGTAAGATCAATATGGAAATGATTGATTTGATTGAATATAAATATGACAGGTAATTATAAATAAGGAGGTAAATATGCAATTATAGGGGTAATTAGAAATTTCATAAAATTTAAATTTATTAGCTAATTAGTTTTCAAATTTGAATATATTGAATATTGACCAATTATACCTGTTGTTACACATCATAGTTATTATGTTTGAATATTGATTAATTAATTTCTAAAAGAGTATTAATTCTACATTAATTACTTTATTTATTTCCTTTATTACATTACTGAACCACCTATAAATTCACCATTCAACACATTCACCTTCTTCATCTTTCTTACACAACTTTTTTTTTTCTTTTGCAATTTAATGTAATTCGAATTATTCGATTCAATCTCGTATTGATTATTGACTAATCGTTTCGTAATCTTTTGTCGTAATTCTTTCGATTTATCGATTATTGTTTCATTCATTATTTTTAGTGTTTCGGAGATATGCCGAAGATCATGTTTAAAAAATAATTACATTGACATCACATACCTACAATTGTTGAAACATCTTAGCCTTTTTATACTATATATATGTTTAAGTTATTGATTTATTTTGTATTTGATTTCTTGATTCAATTGTATTTGCAGCATTTGAGTAATTCTTTCATTGAAGCTACGGGATTGTATCAACCTTTGCTATGAGTGTAGAACTCATGTTCAAGTTGTTATATATGTTCGCGAAAAATACACGGGGAAATAATGTTTCAATTGACCGAGAGTTGGAGAGATTTTTACATGGTGTTCATTCTTCGGATGACTTTAATACCATCTACCGGACTGCCAATTAAATTTCAGAGAAGACAGTTTCCGTTGATTGTTTCTTTTGCAATGACGATCAATAAAAGCCAAGGTCAAACTCTTTCGCATGTTGGTTTGTATCTTCCTAAGCATGTCTTCAGCCATGATCAACTATATGTTGCATTGTCCAGAGTTACGAGCAGAGGTGGCATTAAGATATTCATCAACTTGGATTCGAGTGAACTCACCAATGTTAATAGAAATGTCGTGTACAAGGAAGTATTTCATCGAATTTGGAGGGTAGAGAATATTTTCATATTTACCAATTATTATCGAATTTGAAGGTAGAGAATATTTTCATATTTACCAATTATTCATGTAACATGTCTTTTTTTTAACAACTTATTCTTTGGCAGGTGTTTCTTCTCTATATAATTTCCCCCGTGCGATGTTATTTTCAATCATGTCCCTAGGATGCTCAGTGCAAATTTTATTATCTTTAAGATTTATTTTTGACGATATACTAATATTTTAATATTATTATTATGATGTAACTATGAAGAACATGATGCTTCAATATTGTTGGTCGCTTTTTGTATTTAAATTCAATGAGCGTAATAATTTATATATGCGTAAATTTATTTTTCAGACATGTATTTCCAGTTGAAAATATGCCCCCCGTGCATCGCACGGGTGAATACTAGTTATATAAAATACTAGTAATCTACCCGTGCACGGTTAGTTTATTTCTAAGAAAATATTATTCAATAATATTGTATATTGCAAAACAAATAACGATAAGAATTAGTACTATTTAATACACTTATTCTTCTACAGTAAATGTGACCAATTAAAGTGATGCGGCACACAAAAATCTTGAATTCCAATAATGCATTGGGTTATTAGCAATACACCCCTCCTATAGATAAAAAATAGTGATATGTCCATACCATAATTCTTCCTTTGTGAAAACCCCCTAAAATATTTATTTCCAATCTTACCCTTATACTACCCATCACGTTTTTTTTTAATAATTATCTAGTATTAACAAAATTCCTATTAATAAGACAACTAACTCCCGTTCCTATTAATAAGGCAACTAAATCCCCACGTTTTTTTTATTTATAATTATCTACTATTTAGAAAATTCCTATTAATGAGGAACCTAATTCCCGCTAATTAAAATTAATTAGTATAATTTATCTCAATTATTCTTTTTTTTTTCTCTCTTTCCATAATAACAATTTAATTCCTAAAAATCTGCTTCCAAATTCCTAAAAAATTGCTACCAAATAAAAAAAAAGTATTTTCGGACTTTATTTTTTTATTTTTATATTATTTTCGGACTTTATTTAACCATTTTTATTTTATTTTTATTTTTAATATTTTTTAATAAAAATATTTTTTTTATTTTTTTTTTATTTTTAAACAAAAAATTGAAATTTTTCTCTCCACGGCTTTGCAACACTGAATATGACTATAGTTGAATATGAGTATATGTGAATATATTAACTGTAGTCATATTCTTTCTTTATATTGTTGTTTTTTATATTTTGAACTTAAAAATTCCGATTATATGGCATAGTCATGTTTACCAAATCATATAAAACAATGAAGATTCCCTATTGTTTACGAAAACAATCCAATCAATATCCACACAAAACATCAATTTGAATCTACTTACTAGAAGTCAACTTCAAAACGAGAAGATAGATTATATTCAACAATAGTCATATTCGAATATGACTACAGTCATGTTCGAAAAATACATAAATATGACTATAGTCATATTCGAATATGACTATAGTCATGTTACTGCTGCTGTTCAGATCTGGAAAAAAAAAAATCGAAAAATACATAAATAAAGATAGAAAAATAATGAGAGAGAGGGATGGGAGTCGACGACAACGGCGGTGGTGGCGATGGTGAAGGAAAGAGAGTAAAAGAGGCGGCGACGGTGGTGGTGGCATCTGAAAAAAAAAACCAGAGAAAACGAGAAAGATAACGAAAAAGAGAGAAAGAGCCTTACCATGAAATGAAGGAGGAGGCAGCGGCAACGAGCGGCGACGGTGGTGGTGGTGTACAAATCTATGTGGAGACGATGGTGGTGTAAAGAGAGAGAAATCGAGAGAGACAACGAACACGAGAAATTAATAAATCACTAATCGAGTGAATCAGCAATAGTCATATTCGAACCAGACTATAGTCACGTTAATGCTTCTGCTCCAGATCTGGAGAAAAAAAATCGAAAATAACGAAAGAGAACGAGGAGGAGGCGACGAAAACGACGGTGAATGAAAGAGAGTGGGGAACAAACAAGAAATTTATAAATCACTAATCGAGTGAATCAACAATAGTCATAATTGTTAACAGAACAATGAGAATATGACTATTTTGTGACTACTCTGTAAATCGAGATAAAATGAAATCTGATACAACTCGGACGACACAAACCCCATACATTTTGCTCTGAACAAAACAAACGCTCGTAAATTGCGAACCAAACATTATAATCCATAGACTAAATAATAAAAAAAACAAAAAAAAAAAAAAAAAAAAAAAAACAGTTCCAAACAATCTCTAATCTTTTCCACGCAACTTTGCTTCAACACCAAGCATAGAGCGCTACAAAGACGACGACAAGGCACCTCGATCTCGCCCAAAAATACTTGCGTATATACTGATCTGCCAGAAGACGAAAAAAGAAAAAAAAAAGAGAAGGGAGATTGAGAACGTGAGAGAGAGAGGGGGGTGAAAGAGTGAAATAAATTATATCTCGTTAAAAACCTAATCACATAAGGGCACTTTAGTCTTATCATATCTGATTAGGGGGATCTCACTAATTAAGAATGAAACTTGGGTGTAGGCAAAAGTCTTTAATAGTCAATTGGGTTTAGTTCAAAATATTTTCCATTTGAGGAGGGTATTGCATATTTCCCCATTAATATCGAGTTATCGCACGGGTATTGCATATTTCCATTAGAGACTTGAAATACGAAGATTTTCTACAGCAATTTGTATATAAAGAAAATTCTCGAACTTGGGCGCCAAGGAAAAAATGATTTTCTATTGGTAGGCTTGCGAATGTTCCCCCTGGAAAAGGGGGAGACTATTACCTTAGGTTGCTACTTAACATTCAGAGGGGATATACGTGCTACAGGATATTAGAAAAGTTTTTGACACCGTCTACCCTACGTTCAGGGATGCATGTTATGTGTTGGGTTTGTTAGATGACGACAAAGAATACATAGATGCATTAATAGAAGTGAATACTTGGGCACCGGGGGATTATATAATAAGGTTATTTGTAGTTATGCTTCTTTCCAATAGCTTAAGTCGGCCCGAACATGTTTGACAGAGTTGTTGGTTGGATTTGGCGGAGGGTATTGCTTACAAACAACAACGTCTTTATAATAATCCAGGTATGGCAATTTGTATAGCACAATATTCAATTAGATTTTAAATATTACTCATTCTTTTAATATTGCCTCTTTACATTTTGAACTAAATGCACATAATTTATCCATTTTTTTTGAAGATTTACATATATCGGATGAAAGATTGAAGAACTATACTCTCACCGAAATAGAACAAATATTGCAAATCAATGGTAAAAGCCTGCGAAATTACGCGCCCATGCCAATTCCAATCAAATTCTCAGCGTAGGACACAGTAAACCTATTAATGTTAGATGAACTAGATTACGACTGGTTTGAAATGTGTAGAGAACTTCAACGGTGTCTTGCTTGAATTACAGACGAGCAAAGAAAGGTTTATGATGTAGTCATGGATGTTGTATCCAATGACCGTGGTGGAATGTTTTTTCTATATGGCCATGGTGGAACGGGAAAGACGTTTCTATGGTAAACTCTTTCGGCTGCAGTTTGTTCCAAGGGAGAGATTGTAATTAACGTTGCATCGAGTGGTATAGCGTCGTTATTGCTCCACGGTGGAAGAACAACTCATTCTCGATTTGGACTACCCATAAATGTACACGAGAGTTCCACCTGCAACATATTGCAACAAAGTCCTCAAGCGGAGTTGCTCATAAGGGCAAAGCTTATTATATGGGACGAGGCTCCTATGATGCATAGATATTGTTTTGAAGCGCTTGACAAGACAATGAAGTCAATATTACAAGTTGAAATATTCTTTGGTGGTAAGGTGGTTGTTCTTGGAGGAGATTTTTGGCAGATTTTACCAGTTGTGCTTAAAGCATCAAGGCAGGACATAGTACATGCTACGATAAACTCCTCTCCGCTGTGGAATTTCTGTTTAGTCATGAAGTTGACTAAGAACATGAGATTGCAGTCATGCTCTTCTCCATCTAACGTGGATGAGGTAAAAGAATTTGGAGAGTGGATACTGAAGTTTGGTAATGATGATGATGGGGAAAAAACGATGGTGAAGCTTCGATAGAGATTCCCGATGACATGTTGATTGGTGAGTCAGAATATCCATTCAGAGACCTACTGGAATTCATTTACCCGGATTTGTTGAGTAACATGTATGATCCAGATTATTTTCAAGGGAGAGCAATTCTTGCACCAACTAATGAATGTGAACGATCACTTAATGTCTCTCCTTCCAGGAGAAGAGAAGGTGTACCTGAGCTCAGATAGTATGTGTAGGGACGAGCAAACAATGGAGGATAATGCAGAAGTTTATTCGACTGAATTCCTCAACACAATAAGATGCTCCGGACTTTGTTCTCATGCGTTGAAGTTCAAGGTTGGTGCACCCGTTATGCTAATAAGAAACATCGATCAAGCTAGATGATTGTGTAACGGGACCAGACTTCAAATTATTAGAACTGACATTCACGTTATGAGTTGCAAAATTATTTCCCGAAAAAATATCGGTGACATGGTGTTCATTCCTCGGATGATTTTAATACCATCTAACTCCGGACTGCCAATTAAATTTCAGAGAAGACAGTTTCCGTTGATTGTTTCTTTTGCAATGACAATCAATAAAAACCAAGGTCAAACTCTTTTGCATGTTGGTTTGTATCTTCCTAGGCATGTCTTTAGCCATGATCAACTATATGTTGCACTGTCCAGAGTTATGAGCAGAGGTGACATTAAGATACTCATCAAGTCGGATTCAGGTGAACTCATCAATGTTACTAGAAATGTCGTGTACAAGGAAGTATTTCATCGAATTTGAAGGTAGAAAATATTTTCATATTTACCAATTATTCATGTTACATGTCTTTTTTTTTAACAACTTATTCTTTGGCAGGTGTTTCTTCTCTATATAATTTCCCTCGTGCGATGTTATTTTCAGTCATGTCCCTAGGATGCTCAGTGCAAATCTTATTATCTTTAAGATTTATTTTTGACGATATACTAAAATTTAATATTATTCTTATGATGTAAATATGAAGAACTTGATATTTAAAACATATTTTTAATATTGCTGGTCGCGTTTTGTATTTAAATTCAATGAGCGTAATAATTTATATATGCGTAAATTTGTTTTTCAGATATGTATTTCCAGTTGAAAATATGTCGCCCCGTGCATCGCACGGGTGAATACTAGTATAAGATATATCCATAAATAGATGTAAAAATAACAATCAAATAAAATATCAGCACCAAACTACAATGACGAAAAAATATGTAGACTAAACTTAGAGGGTCGATGACGTTCGCTGGAAGCATAATCCGATATTCATCCGGTGGACCACCTTGCACTCAGATTGACAAACACAAACACAAAGCAATTAACTCTCATTCTCAGATTTTACAAATACTGACAAACGAACATGGAATAATTTATTTTGTTTTGAAAAACAAAGAAACTCGATGTTTTCAGAAAAAAAGGAGTAGAGGATAAAAAATCCCAAAAGCAAAGATGGACGAACAACTGAAAACACAAACAAATTCAGTCCCCTTCTCACTTTCCCTGTAACAAATTGACTCACATTCTCTATCTTTTTTCAGAGCAAGAGCAAGAAAAAAAGTCCAACAAATTCTGCCCCTTCTAACCTTTCTATAGCAAAGGAAAATTTAAAAGCCCTTTAGAAAACAACAAAAAGTTGGTACAAATAAAACAGACGTGCATGAGAGATTTTAATGAACATTATTCGTTATTTACTAGAGGAGTATAGCCAAAAAATTATTAAAAGAATAAATAATTAACCAAAAATATTAAACTTGGAAGAATTTCCACTCGAAATTCCTATCATTAAGAAAAGAAAAAAAACACTATTTGAAAACTATATACATTAGTAAGAATGATAATCATCAATTTTATCGTAATGATGTCAACCATACTATCTTGAATGTGATAAGCAATTATCTTTGTCTGAAAAAGATGAAAGTTTTTATCCATCAACCGACCATAAAACAAATTATATGATGGAATCCAAATTATAAGCGTCACGATTATTCATATTCTTTACTAAAACCAGAAATACACGTACACACATAAAGCTACACACACGCAGCACGCTACACACACTATCACACAACTAACACACACAACACTACTATAATTGCACAAATAAGTAAAAACACCAGCCAAAAAAAACAGAGTGAAAATAATGTGTGGGAAAAAGAAAAACCATAAGTATAGAAGGATCTTTCTGAAATGGAAAATAAAATAAATCTATGCAATCGATATGTTCAGAGGAAAAGAGGAAAAAAATACTGAAGAGGCCGATGGTGGATGCAACAAAAGAATGATGTTTCTAAAACGGGCCTATGGAGTATAGGCTATAGCCAAGTTAAAATAATAAAAAACCGTCTTCTGAAGTTGAGAAATGGGAGAAAGAAGTTGGAACGCCAGTTACAAAACCGGCCAAAAAAAGGGGAAAGGGATAGAAAAAAAATAAAAAGGAGACACAGAGGGAAAGGGGGCTGCTGTGAGGGATGGAGGTAAAAAAGAAAATTAGGTGTAAACCACACTATGCTAACCATGTGTGACAAACTCCACCTAGCGACCGTTGGCAAAGGGATTTGAACTTGCATCAATTGACACATATTCACTTACTTCAACCGCTAGGTCATCCATTGCGAGACGAGTAGTAGTTTTTAATCATATGGATCAATCAATATTATAATAGAACCATGATCAACCCTAAAAAACCCTAATGGTATTTTTGTAATTATTTATTTTTAATATTTTTTCTCTACCAATTTCTAACTATAATTTTTAACAATAATCAAAATTAAAACTAATCCGTGAAGAATCCTACCTTATTGCTATTTATGTAATTATTTATTTTTAATATTTTTTCTATATTAATTTTTTAACTATAATTTCAATAATTATTGATCTCCTAATTTTCATCAATATATCTCAAATTTTAAGAGATAAGACTAGAAATTCAATATGAATAATACTACGTTATTAAATTTATATTAGTGTATACTAATTTTTTAACTATAATTTTAAACAATTATTGATCTCCTAATTTTGATCAATATATCTCAAATCTTAAGAGATAAAGCTAGAAATTCAATATGAATAATACTACATTATTAAATTTATATTAGTGTACAATATTTTCTTATTATGTATTAAATTGATTATTTTTTTTCTCTTTTTAAATAATATCACGTGCATCGCACGGCGAAAATACTAGTAATATATAATATGAAATCAGTTTCACTTTTGTGTTTTTTATATCCTTAGTGTATTCTTAACTTTTATTTCCTTCACTAATTATTGTCATTGTTTGTGATACACCTGCCATGTGTACCACGCATTTGAATTTAATTTTAAAAATTTGAATCGGCCATATATATGCCTTGATTTTGCATATATTCCTTTTGTTAACTTTTCGTATATATACGTTTTATTAAAGTTCTTTTTTCCAGAACCGGTCAACATAAGTGATCCAATATTTTTACACAAGTAGATTATTCGATTTTGTAATATCTAATTTTTTTAATTCATAATTCATAATTGTTATTAAGATTTTTTCTAATTTATCTGATTTTCACCTTTTAAATCATATTCTACCCAACAATAAATAATCCGTTCACTCCATTCATCATTTTACTCATGCCCCGTTACAATTTATTAACGTTGTAAAAAGCGGTAATCGGGTCGAAGGCGGCCAGGCACCGACTCACGATTAATCGGTGCGGCGGTGATTAATCGTTGATAAAGCGGAAATAAATCGATTTTTAAAATTTAACATAATATATTTCTAAATATTATTTGTAAATACTCAAAACATATATAAAAAGATATTAAATATAGTTATATCTCCATCATGTATATATCTTATATATAAAAGAAAGATATTTTAAACTAACACCTACACCTAAACCTAGGGGCAATTTTGTAAATTAATAAATCTCTAATTTAAGAACATCTAATATTTAAATGTTAATATTTTCCTATTAGTTTGGGTAATGGAATAACTCCATTCCACTCTAATTATTGTGTTTCTAATTTTTTTTCTATTATTTTGTGTAGTGGTAATATTTTCCTATTATTTTCTTAAAACTCATGAAGAACTTCACGAAAAAACACACATTTTTTTGTTCGTCTTCTTCTTACTCATTTAATCTTTTTTTCGTCTTCTTCTTCCTCACCAACAATTTTCAACGTAAGCAATTGTTTTCTACAGGTAAACAATACAATTATTTAAGGAGGAGGAGAAGAAGACGAAAGAGGTGGGCGAGGAGAAGGAGAAGAAGACGAAAGAGGAGGAGAGTAAAAAAGAGGATGCGGAGAAGGAGAACGAGAACGACAAGGAGAAGACGAAGAAGAAGAAGAAGAAGAAGAAGAAGAAGAAGAAGAAGAAGAAGAAGAAGAAGAAGAAGAAGAAGAAGAAGAAGAAGAAGAAGAAGAAGAAGAAGAAGAAGAAGAAGAAGAAGAAGAAGAAGAAGAAGAAGAAGAAGGAGAAGAAGGAGCAGAAGAAGAAGGAGGAGGAGGAGGAGGAGGAGAAAGAGAAGAACAAGAAGAAGAAGAAGAAGAAGAAGAAGAAGGAGAAAGAGGAAGAGGAGAAGAAGGAGGAGGAGAAGAAGGAGAAGGAGAAGAAGAAGGATACATATGTATCCTTATAAAATATAAATAAAAAGGCAATTTTTTGAATTTACATTTACTCTTAAACATTTCTGGCATACATCACCAGTTTTTTAACGATAACAGTTAACATAAACAAAATAAAGCATAAACTCAAATGTTTTTTTTATTAAAATCCCAACTTTTATTTTGATTTATAAAAAAAAAATGAAAAAATAAAAAAACAATTTTTGACTGATTTTTGGCCGATTTTTGCCACCGAAGTTTGACCCGCCTTAAATGTTTGATCGTCTCAGACCGCCTCGAACCGCCTCAACCTGCCTCAGACCGCCTAAAACCGGCTAACAAGAAAAAAACCAAAATTTCAAACATTTACACTAAAATCGTAAAGGTTTGGGACCGCCTCGGCCGATTTTTAGAACACTGCAATTATAAACTTCGAATTTTGTTGTTTTTTTCTTTCTATATTCACATTAATGTGTTTTATTTAGTTTTATTTGCTAATAATATTTATATTTTATGATTTTTGCATTCACTTTGTGTATTGTTTCCTATTTGTTTTTATATTGTATTAATTCAATTATCACTACTAGAAAATCATTCTTCAGAGTGACGTCTAAATCACCCTTTAATATGACAACTCATAAAAAATGTCTCAAGAACTGGTCTATTAAGTCGCCTAACTAAGTGTGCTCTTTAGTGCCTGCATGGGTGTAGCTCAACTGGTTCCGGAGGTGGTAAGTTGGTGCAAGGTCCTAGGATCAAATCCTGACAGCCGCAGTGTGGGAATTTCAACTCCAATGAGGGTTGGTTCCTTGACGGGTCCGCTACCTTAACGGGCCGTTGAGTTACCATGATTTACATTCCTCCATCAATCCTTGTCGGGCCAAGGGATGGGGGCCCTGGGGGCGAGGGATTTCGCCTTTTGGTGCAAGTGTGCTCTTTAGTTCCGTGTTTTTATTTTATTTTCCCTTTTTTTAATTCTCAAAATGAATATTTAATGACGACTTTCAAAGAATTGTCACAATAACACACATTGAAATAATAAAAAATAAGAATTGTCACAATAACACACATTGAAATAATAAAAAATACAGCCACAGTGTGCGTCGGTGCCGTAAACACACACTTATTCCTAAATTCTTGCCTTTCTCCTATTTTTTTCTTTTGGCAATAAATCTTTCGACCCAAATCAGCCGCTTCTCTCTTCAAAACCCTTTCCCCCAATTACTTAGATCCAGTTATTGGCGCCGCTTGAACGAAAACCAAAAAAGTTTCCGATGTATGGGAATTGATGTTTCTCAATATCAGGTATCAAATCTCCCTCTCTCGATTTGACTCTTTTTGTGTTTATTTGCTTCATTTTTTTCTTCTACAATTTATGTAGTGGAATTCAACAGATTTGCGCAGCGTATGTATTGGATTATTTTGATGCTGTACAATTGTGCTTCACTATAATTTGGTGAAACTGATCTTTTACCTGTCTTCAATTGGGGTTCTTATATTTATGTTTTTCGTTTTGGTTCGGTCGACATGTTAAATGTGATGGGCATTATTATGTTTTTGTTAATCTCATGAAAATTGGTGAATTTTCGTCAAACACTTTGTTTTCTCTGTGGGTGTGTTTGTTTTTCCAGATTGCAGCCTTTAATAGCTTTCGGAGGTTGATTTGGTGATATTGGGGTCTATTTTATGGCTATTGATTATAACATTGGTGATTAATCACCAGAAGAAGAGGTATCTCCTTATATTCTTGTTTAGCATGTTTTGAAGCTGAAAACTTATGATTCTGATGTGAGACTGTATCTTTTCCATTTATCTTGCTGGGGCTGATTAGCAATATCCACTTAGTTGGCATATGTGTGTTATAATAATCATTACAAGTTTCCATAGTTGAAATTACCATTTCCTATAAAACAAGCAAATTGGTGTACTGATTAGCTTTCATTTCTATTTTATTGAAGTTTATGAAGACTGGTGTACTTATTTTGGAGTTTTTTAGATATTTCAAGGTTAATATATAAATAAATGGTTAAGTTTGAAATCATTGTTTTCTTAACCAGTAAACTATACTGGCATAACTGAATGCTCTCTGTTTTTCATTCTTTATGTTTACTTATGTGAACGTGTCTAGTTTTGAGATATATCTACTAGTTTCTTGTTTGTGTTCTTTGTGTTGAATTGTGAGCGGCTTTTGTTTGCAATTAAGAATATTTTCAGAAACAAGTTTGGATCCTTTAAGCAAACAAGAATGAGTGAGTGAATCTGATTAAGATAGTTTTGGTTACTCCAAGAATCTACAGAGCCAAGCAATACGGTAACCTTTTATATATCTCATCCTTGTGGACTTGATGTTTTATATAAACTCACATTTTTTGTTATAGAAATTTCGTTAAGTTAACATTACAAGCTTTATAGATGGGACACACATGAAATTTTACCGTAAAGAAGATGAGTTAACCAATCTCTTTGTAAAGATTAGAGTTATCCATAAAATTGTTCATTTGCTATTTACTGACCGGTTGAATATGTTCAATCTTTCTAATGACATAAATGTATCCGTTGTGGTTAATATTGTAATTTATTTAATTTATGTGCTTATAATCTAAATTCTTACTATGTTTTCAATTATAGAAGTGAAATATTGATTACTGTTAATTATTTATAATGTGATAATTATTTTGCAGTAATGGGAAATGCATATAGACAGTCGATTATACAATTGAAGATTGCTTGGTTGCAATATTTGGTATTGATCTCTTACTAAAAGCTCATTGGTTTAGATTTTTTTGTTATTTGAATTCCACTGATATTTGATAATTTTAATAGGTTGCTATGGATACATAAACAATACCGAAGACAATTTTGCATCAGTTTTATGGCCAAGTCGTACTATGGTATGCAATTTGAAGATTGCTTTCAAGTGTAGTGTCATTAATGAAATCTTAGAAGTTTCTCAATGTAAGAATTGAAAAGGTATTGGTGTGTTAGTTTTTGGAGAGATTTTATGTTCTAGATGCTGGAATACTTGTTAATATAATTTTTGTAATTTTGAACCAGTGAAATTAATTGAATTAATTTTAAGAACAAGTTTTAGTATGCAAGTGTTGTGTAAATGGTTTCTTTTTGTATGTATGGATTATGTTGGGATGATTGAAGTGTTTCTTACTATTTATAAGATGAGAATAGAAGCGTCATTAACAATTTATGACGAATAAAGGCTTAAATATTACCCTTCTAATGGGACATTATAAAGCGTCACAATCGATAGTTATTAACACTTGTTAAACTTCTTAAGACAAATGAATTCGTCATTATACCCATATAAAAGGACGTTTATAAGCGTCACAAAAATAGGTAGTTATAGTTGGTGGGAATTAATAACGTGACGCTTATAGGCATCATAAAATCTATCTAGTTGCGACAACGAAGCCGTTGTGATAGTGTAGATTTGGAGACGCTGGTTCCCGTCACTAAAAACTATTATGATGGCCACCTATGTGACGCTTTTGTACGGCGTCACAAAATCTGAAACGTCACAATAATTTAATGTAGTGACGATTTAGGGCGTCACGAAATGCAACATTTCTAGTATATTGTGCTTGGTCCTAATTAATGGTAATTCTAATTATCCTATTTTATCTTTTATTTTACAATGGCTGCAATGGAGGACTCATGGAAAAAGATGGAAGATGTGATTTCGCGAAGATAAAAACATAAGTTGTTAGTTCTTTATCACAAATTATGTCGAGTGCTTCTATGTCAACTCTTAACTCTCAATTCAACTGGAGAGAATATATATATATGCTCATTATGTTTTACATACTTAAATTTGTTAATTATTTATGGATTTTTGAATAGATTTTGCAGAAAATTTAACATAACTTCATTGTGCTTCTACAAAGCATGATGATTATTTATGCCTTCCCTTATTTTGTTTGATTTTGCTATTACGAGTTTTAATTTGCATATTGTAATATGAGTGTGTGTATTTTGAAATGGAAATGAACACAATTTTGGACAGAAGTTTGACAAGAAAAATGTAATCGAGGCAAGAACTCGATTCTTTCTCCTTAAGACAAAATTGCCACGTGTTGTAGTTTCGGTTTACGTCTCTCCAAGATACAACGACTATTTCAGTTCTTACAAAGTAGCACAACAATTATTGGAACACGGCGAACAAAACGTCGTTTAGGACTTTATAAGACACGAATAAATGGACTTGATGATAACAACAATATGCAATGAGATGCTATGATGAGAAGTGAATTCAATTAATGTATTGATTCCATATGAAAAAAATGAAAAATTCAAATGGTGGATTTTGGAATTTATTTATAGATTTTCAATGGTTATGACCACAAGTCACAACTTTTAGGAAAATAATTTCATGAAAATGTATCACACATTTTCTCATTAATTACACATCTATTCCATTTAATAGGTGCTTAAACACCTCCATCTTTTTCAATGGTGGCATTTCACTTCTACATTTTCCATATATTATATTAAGTGATTTATTAATTTCTCATTCATTAAAATTAATTTTGAGAAACTAAATTTAATCCAGTTAAATGATCAACCAAAATTGAGTCTAACACTCAAAAATTTCAACACATGTGCATTGCTTCTCATAAATTTGTTAATTGTATCTTTGTTGCTAATTGAACCAACAAACCAGCTAGGTAGAAGAACTATTACTGAAATTATATTCCATAATATATTTATAAATTTATTGTACAACTCTTTATTATTGAGATTATATTTCATAATATATTTATAAATTTCTTCAAAATGATTATTTTTATACATATAATACAATCCTGAGCATATTTGTTTGGAAATTAATTTATCAACACAAATTATAAATATTTGAGTATAGTTTTTAGAAGTAAGGTATGAAAGTTTACTAATTAGCAAGTGAGGTCTCTCCACTCGAGTACATATTGCTGTAATACATATTATTGTTTATGAAATCAGTCAATTATTTTCAATTATTATTATTACTAGCAATTCTCTCTGTGCGATGCACGGGATTGCAAAAAGGAAGAAAATTTAAATATATGATAATTGTTGTAAATAGTATGGAATGTGTGGTTTCCTAACCTAACCACTTGATGGTTTTCAACTTCCCACTAGTTTATTAACTTCCCATATCTATATATGGTGTTAGTGGCGATGTAACTTCTACGTAACTTCCACATGTAACTCCTTTGTAACTTCCCGGTGGCTACCACCTATATAAATGAGAAACACTCCCTCCCCACGTATCCCACAAATTTCTCTCTACGGATTCTTGTTCTTTGCATTCTCTCTTTCTCTCTTTGTCTTGTTATTTACATTCTTATGTATTTCCACAAACACAAACCAAAGAGCTAGATAAATAGGCCATTTTACAACACGTTATCAGCACGAAATGCTCGTTGTGATCGTGGAAAGACAATCGTTCGTGGGACTAGGATACTTGAAGAATTTGTGATTCAGGTGCTCGTGAAAAATGAACCATTTTTGGCACGTGGATGCTTGAAGAACTTGTGATTCGAGTTCGTTCGTGAAATGGTAATCTTTTTCGATGAATACAATATATTCTTCAACATTTGAGTTAAAGCGTTTCAAGTAAGCCGTAATCCCTTGCAATTTCGATTTCGTGAGAGATGCACTAGATCTATTTAATGACATGAAATGCATGAAGTACATATTTATCTTCAAGTCATTACTTCATTTATCCTGTGAATAATTTCAAAATATGATATGATTCGTAATTATTGGAAGCATGCTTAATTATGTTATAGTATGGTATAAATATCACAATGATTGTTTTTGGTATGTGATGTAGCAAATTATTTTATCATTTGCATTCATTCCGGATTCAATGAATAGCGACGATAAATGTGTGATTGTATATTGTCAAAGGATTATAATACCTTGCTGGTTTATTTCATGTTTCGAGGATTTTATATGAAATTGTATTATGAATGTTTTATCATAATATTTAGAATACAGTGCACTAAGAAGCTTATGAATAAATATGCACTGTAGAATGAGGGGTGAATATATTTGATGATGAATGTGAAATTGTTTATGTTTCTTACTGAACGTGATTGTAGCCATATTAATAGAATTTTTTTCTCCGATGAATTTGTATTGCATGAATTGTTAGAAAATTTTGCTACAATAACTTGGTCATTTCATTTTAAGATGATCTAATGCACTGCTGATACTTGATAGCATTATGGATCTATTTAGTTAATTCATGATTACCTACCGAAATAATTTCAGAATTAGTTCGTGGAATAATATTGTTTATATTATTTAGCATGTTATATTTTATATATTTGACAATTTACAAAGTCTTAATTGCATGAAGATTTTGGTCCATCTCTAATGGAGAATTCTATTCAATTGATCCATATCTGCCATATGTAATTTTGTGATATGAAAATGGTAAACAATATTTCGTTCGTCGTTATGGTTTATCGTATGTAATCCATGAATGTGTATGAACATGTGGTGTATGAATTATTAGACCGGAAGTTCTAATATGTGCAAAATATTCATGAAATTGTTTATGGAGGTTACATTCCCATAAAACAATAATACTCCTTATTGTATTTGATTTGAGATAAAACACATGAGCAAACTCAAGTTTACCCAACTTAATGTATCTGATGAAAGTTATATTAGTTGGAGAATGGATGTTAAGATCCATACGCTTAGTGGCCAATTGAGAATGATTGTTTTCGAGCATAATTTATTAGGTAAAGCCCAAAAGGCTGAGACTATGTTCTGATTGCGAGATAATTAGATGAAATCCTTCGTATGGACTATTCATCAAACGATGGGTTCCCATAAAGAATGGGATAACCTGACTAGTCATTTTGATTACCAAAAGACAATATACTTGCCGGAAGCAAGGAACAAGTGAATTCATAAACGATTTGTATATGAATTTTAAAATCCGAATAGAGCTCAAAATCAGAACATAGATATATGTTTTATATATGGTGGATCTAAGAATTGGTCGCGCACCTGAAGTGCGAGGAACGTTGGGGCTGGAGATGCAAATAATAATGCACCAGCATAGATTGAGTTAGTAGAGGTATTTTTTTTTCAATATATAGTCCATCGCTCAGCTTCCATACTTGGGCACATCTGACCAAATAACCCATGTTGGGATATGATTGAACTGTTCATTTCATGAATTATGTTTATATTATTACTCGGGTTTATTAGTTTATTGAATTTCAATCATCTTACTTCATATGCTCATGTTAGGAACCATATTCATATTTTGATTATGTCTAGTTTATGCTCTAGACCAGATATTTATGCTCTAAGTTAATTATTATGTTATTCAGTGGTGTTTGCGTGATGAATTTATTTAGTACCTGAAGTACTGAATATATATGATTAGATTTATATAACTCTATAGACATGACATGTGGGGATAAATGTCTGGCAGATAGTGCGACAACACATACTATCCTGAGAGATATGTCGTACTTAATTAATTTCATGTCTATTTGTAGCAAGACCTCTTTGATAACTAAATGAGGCACATGTAGTTTTGATAGATGGTTATGATAATGTCCAAATTATGTATCTCATGGCACAATTTTTCCCATTAAAGTAGCTCATTTTTTCTCCACGTTCCAGTAGAACGTTGTTAAACTTTAAAGATATTTGAGCTAATGGTTATTTTGTTGAAACCATTGAACACAAGAAATTGATATGTGCATCATCTCTAACGT